TTTCGCCTGTAGTAAGCTTAGGATGGAAGAAGGTTATAGGTAGCCAAATTAAAATATGGAGTCAGTTCATGAAGTCTTTCACTGTTGATCTGAGCAAAGTGAGAAAGTGTAGACTTCGCAGTTCGGGTCCGCATGACAATATTAATCGGTAACTGGAGACTCTCAATGATACGGCTCAAACTCCACATTAATGGGGCAGAAGTATCGACACATCATCTTGATCTCCACCTTTATACTCAACTGCGTTATTGCTTCATTCCTTTGTGTTCTCTTTTCGAAACTTTCTACCACTTTTGACTAATATCTTCCTTATTTCTCAATCGTTCGTCTTGGTGCATTTTATCTTGACCTAAGTTGTGGCAAACTGAACTGTTATGCAGTAATATCAGGTCCCCATGCAGATGCTTACTAACTGGTTGTCACTTTAGATAAAGTAGGTTCCTTTGTGCGACTCAAAATCCATTTTTTCAAAATTCATTTGGTAGAAAATCAATTTGCTGTATCATCTCCACTGATGGCAGTGAGTTTGGATGCTACACAGACAACAAGGAATACATAAAACGAAATAACGTAAGTATGAAGACATGAAACAAAGTGAGAGAGAATGAAGAGAACGACCAGACAAAAACGTAAAATCACATGTGTTCCATTCAAGAAGTTTCCAAAACCTTTGCGTTATAAACTAAGAGTATGGAAGAAGAACCATTGTGACTGGTTTCTATTCTGAGCTATATCTGATATGGCTGAGTTCAACGACCTCTTGAATTTCAGCAAGATACACTCAATGTATGCCAACTCAACACAATTATCGTCCCTCCAAAAGCGTTATATCACACGCTAACCACCTAACTAGTCTCAATGTTAACGAACAATGTTCAGTGTAAAAGTTTTAGAAATCTGCTTGAGACATTCTCTTCACTTGTTCTCACCTTTAAATGCTTACATGAACCACTCACATAGGCATTTAATACAATTCATATCAGAGATACCAATTTTTTTATAGCCAAGTATTTCCACAAAATTAAGGAAGCGAAGGAGAATTTCTGACGTCTTTGACTGGATTGGGATATAAACAGTTCACCTAGGGAGTTGGTAATATAACCCAAGATGAATTTCACCCTCCAATAAACCTTGATGTAATCTGTTCTCTTGAACATTTCTCACTTGTCCATTTACATCAATTGCATATTAATCGAGCATTGTCTAATACAACTAACTGACGGTGAATGAAGATTTGGTCAACACCTTGGTCTTGCAGCTCAGTTGGTAGAGCATTAAATCACTAACCCGGAGGGCCCGTGGATTGAATTTTGCAGTGAACGGGGTTTTCATTTCACTTTTGATCATCACTCTTTATAAATAATATCGATTTCCAAACCACAGCTACTTCAAATAGCTTCATTGATAACTGACGTGTTGACGGATATAAGTACTAATGTACAGCTTGATAATGAAATCACTGAAAAATAATTTTTCGCTGGAAAAATCCTTGTCCCATTTAACGTGTGAATGGTTTTAATATACGTAAAAGTCTTCAGCGATCAAAATTAGATAAAGGAATATCAGCAAAGTGTGAGCATGCCAAAGTCTTCTCATGAGGAAACTCCGAAGGACTTCAAATTGGGAGGTGGCTCATTAAAGAAAATACCTGTTTCTTTAATGATCTGTTGAAAAATATGACAAGTCGTTGTTTTAGTTTAATGCAAATGGGTATACCAACAAGGAAACCTTTATGATGCCAACGCATACGCTCAAGTTTCGTCTTGACTTAGATCCATTTTTAGATAAACTTTGCTTTCTCATTACATTATGTATAAACCGTCAGATGAATGTGTAAAAAATACCACCAGTTTTCACAACTTCGACGTGCAAATAAACAACAAATCACAAGGTAGTACTTACCAGGGACCGATATCATTTAGAGGACCACTGGAAACCTGAGAACACTGGGTGGCTGTTTCGCAATGTGGATCTCCTCAGTGGTGCGCACCCACGACCTCGTGAAGAATCATGCTCAGGACTGTTAGGTCTCTCAGCAAGCACTTCTACATTCAATCACTGGGTTGAAATCCCTACTTCTGTCAACTAGCAATACAGTTCGACCATCATCCAATGCTTTCGGCTAGCATTCATCCTCACACCCAACTGCATGATTATTTATTCACAATTATCATTTTCAGTCACGCAGTTTCGAAATTTCCGAACTTCTGCGGATTTTCAAATTTGGTTTCCTGAGCTTACTTCGTGAGTAATTGGATTCGCTAGGTCATCTTACCGAAATCTACACATACACGTGAGTTTTTACTCTGTTCATCATCCGTTCACAGCAAGAATAAACAAGTTTAGTTTCTTCTTACTTGTTAGTGGCTAGGTAGAAAGTGACGTTAGAGTGTCCGAGGATTCTTTTTGTGTGTCACTATCCCAGTTTCCAATATCTAGTTATATCATGTGGTTGGAACAAGGCAATATAATTACCTCCGGAAGAAATTAGGCTAAGAACGACCTTAATTTGAATGGCTTTTAATCACCGTTACATGGTTTTGTAAACCCTATTGAGGATTTCAGATACAGCTCGATGAACCCGTACTCTCACTAGTTTATCCACTAAACCATTCCAGAAAAACCTACAAATACACTTGCATTTTGCCCCATTCACAGTGAATCAGATAGCTAATGAACTCGTTCCAGTTTCTTCCACTCTAGTTTAGTGACTGGGTCAACGTATTGCCGAAAATTCCCGATACCAGATTCACAAGGTTACAGCACTACTGTGAATAGTTTAATCTTGTGTCATACCTTGGCAGTCTGTAATCATTTCATATTACAGTATAATGAATCGACTACATTTGCAACCGATTTCAATAACACAGTGAGAGGAAAGCAAGAAAAATGATCGAATGGAATGACAAAAAGAAACTTTTTTGAAAATATAAAAGAAAAATGGGAGCACACATTAAGTCTGAAAAGGAATAAAATATTTATAACTACATTAGGACAAGAAGTTAAACTACTTGTATCACCGGTATCAATTCTGAATGATGATGTCAAAAGGCTCCTACTTACCAAGAGATAACGGATAACACATCTGTAACGCCTTACATGGATCGGATCTGAAGTTGTTGATGTCTTGGTCGGATTGTGTTCTCTGATCTGGGTTGTTTAGTCGTGGAGCTTTCATCGTCTTGCTAGATGACATCACTAGCACTAACTTCATCATGAAGTGAGCTGTCAATATCTCTCCGTCAGTGATTTAGTAGCTTGCTTTGACGAACTGGTTTGTGATTGGTTGTTCCCTTCGATTGTTGTGTCATTAACTGACTGTATAGATTTTCCTATTGGTTGTTCCTCTGCTTCACCTCAGAACTTTCTGTCGTTTATCACGTTTTCTCATTGGTTAATAGATTGGGTCTATGTCTATTCATCTATTGATTGCTGACTGACTGACCTGAATGTCAAGCTTCTAGGAATCCTCTGATATTCTTTGTATTTCCTCTCTCCGTCCAAAACTTCTATATTGTCAAAATTGAATTCATGTCCATAATTATCCACATGCATTGAAATGAGTGATCAAATGTCGTGACGTTTAGTAGCCAATTGGTGTTCATGTAAACGAAGGCAAACAGGGCAACTACTTTGTCCAATGTAGTGTGTTGACTACAGTTATTGTAGTTGATTTTGTAAATGATATTCGGTTTGTCTTCTTTGGTTGTTGCATCCTTTGGTCTGCATAACAGTGTTTGGAGGGAATTTGTTGGTTTATGAGCCACACCAATTTCAAGTGATCTTGTTGTGATTTCTGATACATTCATTATGTATGGTAGGGTGATATGTTTGTTGGTTTCTGTTGATGACTTTGTAGTTGATGATAAATGGGATAGGCATCTTCTGATAAAGTTTCGTGAGTAACCGTTCTTCTTTAGAATAGACATTAAGTAATTTTCTTTGTTTCTTCGTGTTGTACTACAGCGTGTCCTCGCCCTTTTGAATAGTCTGCAAGCAACTAATTTCGTGCATTGTTGCTACTGTAGTTAAGGATTTGATCAGTGTATGTTGGCTTCCTGTACACTTGGGTTTCCAGATTTCCGGTATTTTTCCTACTGACTAGTATAGTGTCATGTCTAACTGTGACAACTGTCATATCACTGAGGTATGAATAATAACCGGACAGGAAGAATAACAAAAGCTTTATTTAATAATGGATAGCTGCTAGCAGTGGAATCCAGGATACGCGTTTTGTTCTGTTTGGGACTCGTCAGCCGCATGTTCCTGCCTCCCAGTGATTGATCTTGTTTCCACTAAGACCCGAACTCAAGGCCAATCGCGTCGCACAAGAAGTGGCTTTCGTGACCCGGTAGCCTATTGGATAACGTTTTGTCATTTGAAGCGGTCGGCCTCGAGTTCCGGTGTTAGTTGGAGCAACATCGACCACTGGGAGGCAGGTAAATCCAGCTGACGACTCCCAAAATGGGACGAAATTCATGTCCTAGACCTAACTGCTAGCCAATATCCATCATTTTTATGAAAATGAATCACACGGAGTACCAAGGCATTGACGCACAGGAACCGATGTGCCGACAGACACCAATCACTTCGGACCAGTACAAGTAACAGCCTAAAAGCTTTAATTGCCTAGTTTAGGATATTAGTGACTAGTTTATCTACCTTAAAAAATATTTCTACACCTGACCCCAAGGGTAATCAACCTCAAGCATTATATTATGCAAAAGAAGAACCTTTAAAATATTAGTGACCAAGTATCAGTAATCATCTTATTACAATAACTATTAGTGCCCAACCAAAATACAATATAAAATAATACTATCCAGTTGACTCAACTTTTGACACTTTCTCTTTGATGTCATTTTGGTCAAAGCTTACCAGCCAGTCAAACCTTTCTTCATCCATGTCAGCAATATAATTTATATTAGACTAATTCATTATGAAGAATACTGATAAGAGAAAAATGAAACTTGAGCAAAAAAAGACAACAACATATTTACCTGCATTAAGCATACACGATTTAAACTGATTCCATTCCAATTCATTATTATCAGCCCGATCAATGGTTGTATATGCCAAATCAACAGAAATCTGTGATGGTAATACACGTAAACGATTTGATTGGTTTATAAATGAAGTCTTCTCAACAGGCATCAATGAGTGTAAATCAACCTGTATATTATCTTCTCTATCTCCTTTATTGATTGAAAATATAGCACAGAGATAAAAAGTATCTGAATTATTTGTTTCATTAGGAAGTGGATTAGAAGATGGTAGAGTTGATATATAGGAAAGTGTACATGCAAAGTGTAAATCACTATCATAAAGCCATACAGGACTAACACATGATATACTAAAATATGAAAAAAATAACAAAATAAACAATGATTCAATTTGAATAAAAAATATTTTTAAAATGCTTTGATAAGGCCAAATGATCTACAAATATGTTGAATATAAAAATATAAACAACAAAACTTGTACAAAAGATAGAATTTTACTTTTACTTCACAGCTTGTAATCGAATTGAAATACATTCAATAACCATGTACACATTCATACAGTAGATAATGAGATATACCCATTAGGTGAGAACTGTTCAGTCTTTGTTAGGTAGAGAAGTGTTGAAACACGTGATCCATTAATTGGAGACCAAATGCCTAAAATTAAATGAGCCATAGCTATTCATCAGGATGTTATATATATGAAGCCAACTGTCAGGTTTGGATATCACACAGACTCAGTTCAGTTAGACTATTAATGAGTGAAATGATTACTCTTTAGGATATTAGTGTGAAACTGAGATTGATTAGAGTGGGCTAAACTTGAAAATAATCGCTGGCATAGCATTGAGCAACAGGAGTCCAGGTGACTGTAGTTGAAGTGTAATAGGCAATCGTTTTTTTCCAAATAGCTATCATTGTTTTAATAATCGCAAGTTACAAACATTAGGAGGCAAAAAAGATGAGATAGAAAACGAGGAGACCACAAAGGACAAACCGACTAGAAGGAAAGCGCATATATTGTTTATATGGACGGTGTTGAATCCAAGCTTGAGAAGTTTGATCAATACTGATTGCAATTAGCTAAATAAAGAATCGAATCTGTTCGTCCAGTGTTATTCTCTTCAGTCTATATGTCTGCTGAAAACATTGTCGAAACCACCTCACGAATGTCATGTATACCGTTGATTTCAAGTAAATTTTCTCTACGCCTACATGTCATCAAGTCATTAGTAACTTTGGAGGAAAATATGGTACAGTGGCTGTCAATGATACACTACTCATTTATCTGAGTAGGTTCAGTAAAATCCTACTCCCATCACTTGATGTAATCCCCTTTTCTGGAAAACACACAGACCTTTTGTTGTTAGAATACAACGAATCCTGAAACATGAAATTCACTTGCCAGTGTGTCGTGGAAGTGTCTTTTGTCTTTCCGCGCACTCTTCACTTCTTTGTCCAGTGTTTTATACATTGTACTCAGTTCCTTTTCTCCTCGTTCATCCTTGCACTCGTTTATCTTCTGACCATCAACATAGGGCCTTAAATTACTACGAAAACGACCAACTGCTACACTTCAGGTCAAAATACAAGGATGGAAGGTAACAAGGAGAGCGAGAGATGCCTACTCAGTTACCTTATGCACATTCATGAGGTAGGCAGTGAGCCACAACCAGCGTGTGAGGGCTAATGATACTACTAGGCTGCCCAAACCTAGGAAGGTGGAGCGGAGTTTAAACCTATCAACTCCTTAAAACAATAAGTGACAACTACAACAAGGAGGAGGGGAAAGTAAGAAAATATCATCAAAATTCGTAGACCAAAAAAAATAAAATAAATAGAACAAAGATTTGTGGTCTAACAAATTCAATGACGACAAGGCATGAATGTTTCTACGCTCTGCTGCGAACAATTCAAAGTCATATCACCTAGAATCTCCAAGCATTGGTTTCAGTTGTCTTGTGGACCGCAACTATGAAGCTTATAACTGCCTACATGGCTCAGAGCAAAAATCAGATTGGTTTCACATCTGATCCTGGCCATCGTCTAAACTGAATCTTAATTCAGTGTCCAAAACCCAGTATCTACAGCTCAAAAGAACTCAGTTCAGCTGCCAATAACAGCAAAAAAGTATCCTAAAGTAAAATACAACAATACCAACTCATCAATACAAAGAAAAACTTATAAAGAGAGGCTTATTGATCCCTTGAACAAAGAGAGAATAGCCCAACCTACAAACTGTCACTGAAATATTCTGAAATTTATTAGAAACGGATATCATATATCCAAGTTTACACATTAATAATCACTCACTTTAAACCTAAAGAACTTGGCAGCAGGTTGTTCAAGTCAAGTTTTATCAGCTTTCTAGTGTTCATATTGAAGAGGTAATATGTTAAGGCATAACTATGAACAACTTCTAAAATATCATGAGCGATGGTTGATGACAAAGAAACTTCAGACGGTAGACAACAGGTTATGAGAAGTAAATATCCTTCTGATAGCTTCAGATCAACTATAGAACCAGGTACAACAGTTAAAACTGATGATTTATAACTTGTTGTCTAAAAAGCATTGAAACCAATAGACAATAAAACAAGAAAAGTAAAGTTACATTAAAAAGCAACCATAAGTAATGGCAGTAAAGAAAGTATATAAGATATGGTATGATGATGAATTGATATGAAGTTATTGAATATTTACTTTTGACCATTGGTTCCACTCCCGTTACTGAAGAACACTTACAGTTGAAGATATATCGAAACCTGTCTGTAATATATTAATTTCTGAGGATAGCTTTCATCATAGGCTGATGCTGAACAGAGAATCACTAGGGAACAGAAAGTAACGAACAAATGCCCCATTATACCTAAGTGAACTCAACAGAAGTTAACATCTACAGCCTTAAGTGGCCTCGAAACCATGGAAAATAAGTCCTGTAGTAGGCGAGTCACCTTCCTACTATTTGTTTAGAATTATATGATAATCACCTCCAACATTACTCCATTCGTGCAAAAAAGAGACCAAGATAGTAGGGATGAAAGACGTTCAATAATGACACTATATAATGATCTTTAATATAAACTACCTCCAGATGGACTAAAACCCTCTCCCCTCCACAACTCATGAGTCAATGAAATGAAATTAGAGGAACCGTTTTTATATCTTCATTTCCTTGAAAGCAATATATTCTCCTTAATCTACACTGCTCATCTTATCTCCGTTCTGGTTCAGCCTTAAAAATAAGACCAGCTACATTCAAAACATTGTTGAGACTGTTAGTATTTTTTCAACAAGTCTGATCGACCATTTGTTCACCAGCTCACTCTATTCTAATTTTTACGTGATATGGTCTTAGATACTGGTTTTTTCAGTATCCTGTTAGGTATCTGGATTACTTCGATGTCTCTATCTTTCTATGAGAAGCCTTCAATTTTGCTGTTTTGTTTAACTGCCAAATCAATGTTAAATGCTAGCCGGACAACATCAAAAGATATGACATACGAAAACAATAAGAGTGTTTGTACAAACCCGATTACAATACTGTTCGTTTATATCACCATATATAATAAAGCCTGAAGCTTGCTAACCAACTTTAATTGAAAATCATGTTTGTTGAAGTTATTTTCTACATTTTCCTTAGCATACATAAAAACAAAAGATTGTTTATCTGTAATGCCCAATTTCTTATGAATATAACTTTTACAACTTCGGTATCGCTTGGATGGAAATAAACGTTAACCCGCTCCTCCTGTGTTCTTTCTGTTAGCGTTTCTACCTAAGAGCAGTACTAACCGACTGCTTTTAAGGAAGAACTTTTACAAGAAATCAATCTCCTATTTTTAAACGCGTTAACAATCTATTCTACAATAGTACCCTTCAAATTTCATCATCATCGCATCCTTCAATCCTTCCAGTCACGTTATGGAAACCAAATTTGCAGTAAATTGTACCTAATAACATTGTATTCAAGTAACGCTGTTTTTAGTATATTCACAGTACTTATTGACCTTCCGAGTACACTTCTATTTCGGTAGATATTTTTGTTTCCCTTTCAATTACTGTTCGTAGTTATAGATAACAGAGATTCCATTTTTTCGTTTCTAGACCCTCTGCATGTCTAAAAACCAGGTAATATTTGGAGATTTATAATGAGTTGTGAGATTATATAATTTTGATTGTTAGCTTCTTCGAATTATTTCAAATAACCTCTTCAATACAAACCTCTGAATGATTTAGCCTGAAGATCATTTTAATTAGCGATAAACAATCATATAACCAGTCGGTAGACCAATCAAAGTAAAAGCATCAAGTTAAATCAGCTGTAAGACAAATATTTGACAGTGGAAAGAAAAAACGAAATCGGTCACATTAAGAGCTAGGAAAACAAATTAACCCTACAGAGAGTAGGACACGCTGTTTGGTTACTTGTGTGCTATAAATCTTCGCCTACCATTTCATTCTGAAAGGGATAATGTATATGAGAAGTGTGTAAAAGTAGTAGTTGATGGAGGTAGTATAGTAACCGGTACACAACACTATATCAGTTTGAATTAATACACTGGAATGGTTCGTAAGGAGGGAAAAACTTAAGATAAGACACAAAGAAACCGAGAAGAATTAAGTCTAGAACACTTGTCACCTTTTATATCTCTAAGAAAACAAACAGTGAATAAGTGAGTCATATTTAAAACGGTTTCAAGTAAAGTTAACTGACAACTTTAATCAAACGTTCTCACAGTTTCCCAAACTATACTCAATAAGTCTAGATTTCATCTTGAGCGAATCTGCATTTTCGTATCTAAATTACTTCGGTGCTGCGTTCTTAGTGATAATTGATAGACAGGATGTAGTGAAGAAAACAAAGGTTTGATTTATTCATTCACAAATCTGTCTATCTGTTGAAACAATAACTTACCTCATCAGTATACTTATAAAATACTATTAGACCACGAACATCGCCTGTAATGAATTCCTTACCGCTGGAAGAGACGTATATATTTCCAGAGAGCATATTATGATGGGGATTTTGGACGGAGATAGGGTACAACTGAAAGAAAGAAATCCGAAAAAAGAAGCGTTTTCGTATAGGTGTTACCAAAACCAAAGAATTTATAGATACGATTACTTTAGACTGTGAGTAAATGTCAATGAATTAACTACACAAAATATTAATGATATTAAGGCATTTGCTGTAATTGTCCAGGTCTTATTGACAAAGAAATCTAATTAACTAAGAGATACACTGCAATCATAACGTTTAGTGACGGGAAAGAGACAAGCATTTCACTCAGTGTAATAGGCCTGAAAGATTATCACGTTACCAGCAATAACTCAAGTATCTTCCAAATCTCCAGGTAAATTACACCGTCATAGCAATCCACTAACATCCTACATTTTAAACTTACAAGCAAATAAACGGTAATGCCCATGTACTCGGTTATGCACTAAGTTCCGTGACAGCCAATGTACTACCTGCTTTCCCAGATCAAGCTACGAAACAAGACCAAATGCTTGAAAGATCACTGCTCGTGTCAACGATCCACATCTTAACACCCTACATTCATGGCGAACAGGTAATCTAAGACAAGTAAACAACGGTTTCTCCGAAATATGATAAATTTAATACACCTAACCTTACCACCTGCACATACCTCTACATACAAAAAAAACGTAGGGCGACAAACCTTGTAAAAGATTACACATCTGATTTACCTGTCCATCTTCGGCCACACCCTCCCTTTCTGAGACCGATTCAGGCAAGTGGTTTCTTTTACCCTATCATACTGATTCCACTGTTATGTTCATAGTACTGGGAAATGTTGAATGGATAGCATCATCATCATTACTATCAACAAAGAACCAGGTATTACTGCGTAACGGTCCCACTCGCCACACCTTATATCACTACATCAAGTAAAAAGGCAGTGAAGTACAAGATGAAGAAGAAAAGAAACTTAAGCCAAAAGAAATATAAAGTACGAAAAGAGAGAAAGGAAGAATGAGAAAATGGTGAGATTCGGTATAGCGTCAATAAGATGAGGATAATGTGTGTGTATACATCTGCGCCACTGACATCGGTTCTCAGCCATATCACCTAGTCTCCAGCCACTGGTTCCTCTTGTCCCACAAACCCCAACCAGATGGTTTACATAGCCCCACCACCACCACCACCACCACCACCACACGGCTCAAAACAACAGTCAAACACTTCATACATTGGTGCCACGTTTTAGTCTAACCACCTCGCGCCTTTTACCAGCCTGCACCCACCTTAGCCAACATTGTGTGACAAGGCAATCGGCAACTAGGCATACATGATACGTAATACGTGTCCCAACCATCTCAGTCGATGAAGGTTCATAACCTCGTCAACTGACTTACCTCTTCTCCCTCCCTAAAACTCTACACCTGACTTCTGCGTTACTCACCTGGTGACACCACAAAACACGGCCCATACTACGAAGGCAACGGTGGTCAAACACTTGAAGCCAGCCTTCTCATGTCTTCCACCTTCAATGACCATGTTTCACAGCCATACAGTAGAACAGAGAAGACTGCTGTGAAGTACACGTGACCCTCAATAGACATTCGGATATCACGGTGGCGCCATAGGTGGCGTAAGTTGACAAAAGCCAGCCAAGACTTTTGTATCCATGTAGAGATTTCATTGGCAACTGACCCACCAGGGTTGATCCTACTTCCCAGGTAAGTGAAATGGTCAACGCACTTAACCACTTCACTCTCTATTGTAAGTCCCAGTGGGGCACCATTGAAGACCAATTATGGGGCAACAATTTGCATTTCAGTGATGAGAAACGCATCCCAAACATTCTCAAATTCCCACTCAAAGTGTTCAGAAGACTCAGCTTCTCATCACTCAGCGCCTTCACCTAACACGACTAGACTATGTCATCTGCATATTATAGGTCTAACGAAAATTCTCCTGCGATTACGTCAACCTCTGTGTAACCTGGTGACGAGAGGGAGACATCCATAAGAATATCCATGATAAAATAGAATAAGAATGGAGACATTGGGCACCTCTGACAGACACCAATCGATGAGCATAGCTCCCCGGACATCTGACCACAAGCTCCAACATGCCCAAGCTCACAAGTGTGCGATTAGACAGCATTCAATCAGGTGATGTACTCACTCAGCACGCCTTTCACTGACAGACACATTGCCGTAAGACTTCTCGATCAATGGAGTCCAATGCCGCCACCTTAAGGTCGAGAAATACTGCCAGTCTCGGGCGTCGGTAAGCGTCCCTGTCTTCAAAAACCTGGCACAGTGTGAATATTTGGTCGACACAACCACCACCGGGTCTACAGACTGACTGACTGCCTAGTTTTCTCGGGCTTTCTGTTACCGACCTCCACTCTGGTGTCAAAGAATTATAGAACCTAGGAAATTAGACACTATGTTCGTCAGTCTGATTCCTCTATGGTTATCACAAGAGGACTTCTCGTCTTTCTTGAAGATTGGGATAATCAGTGATTTAGACCAGTCAGAAGGGATCGTGTTTGATTCCCATATACTGGTTTACACTTCCGTTAACATGACTAAGAGAACCTTACCACCATCCTTCTATACCTCACAGGTAGTCCGTCTGGTCCGACGCCCTTTCTCGTTTCAGCTTACCTACCGCTTTCTCGACTTCTGCTAGTGTTGAAGGGCATATCTCAATGTTCCATTCAGGATCCCACTGGATAGTGGGCAACGCAATGGTGACTTCATGCCAGTTTAACTGTTCCTCCAAGTGTTCTACCCATCATTACAGTCATCTCTCTGCGAGTAAAATCACAGACCTGTCCTGCTCCACTATAGCCACACTAACCGCAGTTGACCTTCTCCCACCCCCACCCCCAAGTTCCCTTAATAAGTCTAAATAACTGTCTGCTATTACCGATCGCAACTGCCTTTTCTATCTCTTTAGCCTTCGCTGACCACCACTGTTCGTGGTCGTTGCCTAGACTCTTTCTCAATCTACTTTTTAGTTGTGCTCGCTCTTCATGTACTCACAGCCTCCAGGCACGGATGCCTTCACGTGCATCCATTAGTTCGGAAGAAGCTCCTGATATCCACTGACTCTTTTTAGTCACTACTTCGGAGTCGATTACGTCTTCAGCGCTCCTTTTACACCACACTAGAGATGACACCAAGCTTCTTCTGGATGAGTGATACTCTTCTGTTTCGATAACTGCCTAGCCAACTTCTCACTCAACACGACTTTGGTGCTTCCATTGTCCAGCAGCACTCGTAGTAGTCTTGTTGCCAACGTTTTCTCACGTCCATTGAGACGCAGACATATACGCACTCGGACCAACGAGTGGTCGCTATCCAGACACGTACTCCACAAGGAGCGATAGTCTTCTGCCGATCCTCTCCACCGATGACTAATAGCAACGTCGTCTATCTGTGTCCATCACTGAGTTGACCTCGGTCAACGCCACCTCAAATACTGTCTTTCTTTATGTCTGAAATTTGTGCTGGCTAGAAATAGGCGGTTATCTCAGCACACTTGCAGTAGGCAATAACCGTTATCTGTACGTTCAGCTGGGACTCCAAAACTACCACCTAAGTACCTTTCTGCCTCACTCAGTCTACCCACCTGTGCATTCAAGTCACCTGTAACAACAACCACGTACCAACGTTTGGCTTTCGAGAGGAGGCTAGACAGTTTACGGTAGAACTCGTCCTCCACTACATCCCAACTACAGTCAGTGGGTGCGTAAGCAGAGATTACAAAGAGACAACGGTGAGTCTCACTACTCCTTTCACTTCTCACTGTGCCGTTCAGTCGAATAGCACAGAGGCGACTTTTAACTGGGATCCAGTCTGGTAGTGAGTTTTCTGCCCTAGTGTTTAATGCTACGCCTACACCTGCAAGACCACGACAGCTAGCCACCGAATCTCCAGAAACTCGAAGGGTGAATTTCGTGGATTCACCAGATTGACTACGAGAGGTCAGGTGAATAACCGCACTTGGGTCTTGTATGCAAGTCTCACAAACACAGCACACATCCATGCCCCGAGTTGCTAGGGTCTTTTCCAACCAAGCCTACTCACCAATTTGACGGAGGGTGCGGACATTGGAGGCTCCAATATGTAATTTGCAGCGCGGTTTAAGGAAACCAGGGATGCTGTTCTATGGGCTCAGATCGTTGTCAAAGGCTGCACAGCTAGGAGAAATTGAAGATGATGTAGTATCGTTAATTGAGAGACATGGAGGAAGATTAGAAGGTAATGATGAGGGAGGTGGATAGCAGTTTGAGGGAACTTGAGTCCCGATAGAGTTGTAAGGGCGGTTGACACTTCCCAGCTGCCCACACCGTACAAGGCTATTTCTTCTTAAGGTACCTGAAAGAGATTTCCGTGACCACAGAGTACATCGGACATCTGCTTCAGGCCTGTCACTTTCAGCCTTTTGTGCATGATTATTATGAACCTTTGTTGGTTTGTGGCTGGATGGTCGAAAGGAAACGACAAATGAACCAACATCGCTGGCCAGGCAGACCGTGGGGCATGGTGGAGTGTTATTTTTGGGGCCGACCTTTTCTAACTCCCCCCCCCACCTTTTCCACTGAGAAGGCAGCATTAGCATGGCACTGCTGGTCATCCAAGGGAAACATTTTACTGCTATCACACTCCATCCAGCTAGCAGCAATACGCCTTCGCCCTCACACCCCTATCATCGTGTAGTAATTTACACCACAACAGTAACTGCTTATCGTCTAACCACTATCCAACAGACCTTCCTGGTATGGTAGGACCTGGAGGGAACAAGTGTTCCACCAGCATAACTGGTTGGGTCATTGTGATACGCAAGCCCGACCACTACGTCAAGGTAGCAGCTATCGGTCGGATTGCCATTGCCGTTTAGGCATTGTTTGATCAAAGTAAACTAAGCAAGAATTTTTTTCATTGAAATAGTTTTATTATCGTAGGACAAAAACCTCAAAATCTCTATCTAAACCAATTCAATGGGAACCACAGCATTTAGACACAGTCAGGTAATTAACAATTTATTTCCTTTGAGGTTTGTACAGTCGCTACGTCGTCCCACTTTCTCATGTCTCACTTGTGAATAGGAAAGTTTAAATAATGACCAAACTTAGATACAAGCTTGAACATATAGCAGACAACACGAAACAAACCTTACTCCCAGTTAAGTTGGATTCCTATCTGTCATATGGACACACTCAAGTCATCAAAACGCACTTAACGCAGGCACTTCTCAAAAAAAATCCAATGTGCTGCAGCCTTAAATCAATCCGTAAAGTCAGGGGTCTACAAATCAACAACACTCGACATGGAGTGCTGACTTGCATAGTTCTAAGTTAATTATCTAGCTGATGATGGACAGTCAAGTAACACAGGCCCATGGGAAATAGGTTTGGTTCATTGCCTAGTACGCAGAAACATGTATTATAAAGTTGCTGATTTGTACTTTATTAAAGATCAGGAAGTATAGTAAATGGAACCAATGCACTTTTTTCGAGGTTCTACTTTCCTCCGCCTATCTATCTGTACACACACAGTGAAGTGGGTTGAATCAACCATACTTTGAGAAACCCTTTTTGCTGCATGCTTTATTTATTAACCTTAATGTAGTATGTTTCGATAGCTAACAAAGTGCTTATAAAATAAACACATGTCAAAATTGTATCTACGGTAAGGTTGGTAATGTTTAGGAAGATTCCCATGTGATCTTGGAGAAATTTACTAAAGTCATTATCTGGCCAGTCCTAACAACTCTAGGGTTCCTCCAATAACCAGTATTGTGGCATAAGCAGCATTCTGCCTTCTTTTTCAGAAGATGTAGTGATCAACCTTAATTCAGACAATCCAACTTCTAAGATTTCATATGTTGGAGAAAAAAGTAGGCACTATTTTGGAGTAGAATTTCATATCAGATTCATTGTTTGATATAGGATGAAGTGATAGTGTTATTTGCTAGATGTTTCCAACACAGTGTACCGCTTATGACTACATCAAAGTAACCACACATTTTTTTTACTAATGGACTATAGTCTAACAGTTAATCATTCCTTTACACTGATGGAAGTATAATATTATAAATACCTCTAATATGTGGTTGGTCATTCCTGTTACATGTCTTTGGAGTTGACTTAATGAACAGAGATTCTGTAATCAAGCTATCCCTCCAACTAGCCATATTAGATTTCAGAATTGTCACCCTAACCCATCCAATCGTGTGATGATGAGTTAGTGCATGCAGAGTGATATCCAAGTTCTCCTCTACATTACTCACCGTGTAGCGTTAATCATTTTACCTTTCGCCAAATTTTGCATGCCATTATCCTAACCTCCATCGGCTACTTTTGCCTATACACAACCTCAAAATAATCACCATGTATGTGACAGATTAAGTTACTTTGCTTAATCAGATTCACTGGATCTTTTAGCACACAAAGTTTTCTTCGGAGTGAGTTTGTGGGTTTAAATGCCACCCTAACCGCAGCACTGTTAAGATTTCGACGTATAATTTCCGACCTACCTGCTTTTACAGCAACACTACAGAGGATTTGAAAACCTATTTAGGCACGTTGAAAACACAGCTGATGTTATTGCTGCCTTTTATATAATTCCTTATAAACATTTTAATAAACTCCGGGGAAAAATTATTAGGTGGTCATGTCTTTTCAACGTGCTTGAGATGCTTATTTTATTGTCTGATTTCTGGATGGAATATATCCATCCCCATGTAAGACTCAAGAACTGCTTGATTTATTCTTTTACATCCATAACTACAGTTCCCTTTTGTAGGTCCTTCATGTTTGAACAAAGAAATCATTTCCGACATTTATAATCACTTCGAAACCTAAATACACAGGACAGTTGCCAGCTTTATTCCTTAAATTGAGGACAGTAACCCACTTACTATTCGATTCATGGAACTGTATGAACCACAAGAGAGAAAAATTGAAACTCACTCATTCACCTTGCGTTTATTCGTGCGAAAGTCAATAAGCTGCACCTAGCGTGTAAATGCTAATTATACTACCTGGCTGCCCGAACTTCCGTAGGTGGGGCAGTATTCGAACCCGCGACTCACTGGTTGAAAGTTAAATGCATAAACCAATGAGCCACAGCTCGATAATCCGTCCACGCAAACCAAATACCACTGCTAGAAAGAGTACAGCAGGTCTGTGACATAAGTTAGTTAGTGGTGATACCTTGTTGGCCAAGTAGCAGTTGACAAAGTGAGGTTCAGACTTGTAAGCCAGTGGTTGAAAGAAGAGTGCTTAAGCCTTTGCACTACAGTTCCAAGATGGACGAACAGACATAAGGAACTAAACTTTTCGTCCACTTTACGAGCCAATAGTCATATATACTAGTGTCTACCACTTCACCGTGACGGTCTATCACTTTCTTTGAACCCGGCGGGATTGATGAACCCATACATAAGTAGCGTGCTGTCCAGAAGTGCATAGAACTATGCAATTAAGCCATCCTTAGGCAACTTCTAAAAGACAGATTTGTGAATCCAGTTTACAGTAATTATGTGGTCGTTTTGATAAGCTTAGAATTATTGACAGGGTTCCACAATTTTGATGGTGGTAGTTGCCACTGAAGGGAATTATTTCCCGTACTAGTCTTATTACTGGCAAATTCGAAGGAATTTATCGAGTGAGTGCATTTATTATTAAGAACAAATTATGCACAAAAATTTCGAGGGAGTACAAATTATGGTCAGGTCGCACATCATAAAACTCAATTACAACTCTTATTTCAACTCAAGAAGACCTAACAACTAGTTCGAAGTAAGTTCGCTGTAGCCATTAGTCGTAAAGCATCACACAAACAGTATGTCCTCTTTTCAGATCCGGCATTCACAACACAACAGATTCTTTGTTCGTTCACTGCTTTTTGACTTCATTTTCAAGTTTCGTACTTTGAAATCAAACTAATATCACACATCGTTAACCTAAGGTTTGTTTTAAATTTTCGAACTCTAACTCTTATATCCCTTAGTAGAGGTTCACACAAACAATTTGGAGGTGAGAGGAGACCACTTGAACGCTTATTTACACGTATGTCAAAGCTTAGGTGGTTCAATTTTGCGCAGATTCACAGATTAATATCTTTATTGTATATACTTTTAGTTTGTGCAGAAAAAAAGAGATGGGTTCCTAAACATCGATAAAAGCTATATCTACCACAAAGATTTTTTAATTTGTGTATTGAAAACTAGAAAGGAACGAACGTCTTATTCTTGCATCCAAGATCATTTGAAGGTTACTCAAAGATAACAAAACTTCACAGTCATACCAGCAGTTCTGTAAATCAATACACAAAAGTATGTATATCTTGAGGTCATTAGACTGTTGATAATATATGTTACATCTTTATCTCTAATTCCTGAATATCTGATCACTTCCCGTACTTTCATCGAATTTATATTCATTTTTCTTATGTTAGTATGATCTCCTTTCAACTGCAGCTAAAAATTGAAGCGCCAAAGTGTGACACCCAACGTTGTTGCGTCTATATATTTAACCACTCAACAATTTGTTATTGTGAGGTTTTGTGGTTTTTCTCGTCTTTTTGATTTTTCGCTAGTTAGTAAACGCAGGCTGAAAAGCTCCTGAGTAAGAAACCTAGCTCTGCACACAAGTGTGATGACATTTGCTCTTTAGGTGAAATAAGTCCTAATTTTGTAGATTTTTCAACATCAGAAATGCGACTCGCACTGTAGTGGTGTGAAAACGGATTACTAAGCTTCGCACAGGGAAGGGGATTTTCAGTCGACTGATGAATAAACCATGTCTCCAGAGTTCATTCAGGGAGAAAAGATTGAATTAAAGCTTAACGCCTAATGGGCAGCACTAAAAACCAGAGAACAGATAAATTTGTTTTACTAATGAATCCAGTCTTTATCCTTTCTTTATAAATTTTGTGGCCAAACTTTTACGGGGTAGGAGCAGGTAGGTTCAGAAATCAGAAACAGACAGACGTAGTCATAACACTTTTTAAAAATTAACTAACTTTTATTTTCCTGTTGTCAGACAAGTGCGAGGAATGAAACACCGCTAATGACTGCTCATAGTCGCGACCTGTCGAATATTTTTTGACAGCCATCTTTTTGGCATCCCAGCAAGAACATATAATGATAAGTCTACTTTCTGTCCGCATTCTAAGCGAAATAGGAACAAACGGCGAGTTTCTTCGAAGAAGTTTACGGACATTTCCAACCTGAATTTGTTAAGAGTTAAATAGGCTTCTGACAAACTTGAACGGTTTCAACAACTCTACTCAACTTTTTGTCAACTAAACTCAGAAACCCGTTATCCCAACCGAACACCACGAATTCATTACATGAGTCCATACAACAAATCACAGGGCGGATTCCATTGCGATTAGAATAAAACCCATCCCTCAAGAAATCACACTGACACTTCTCAACAATGTGAAAAACAGAATCAAATTCTTGGAATTCCTCAAGAAGTTGGTGGACACTTTCGTTAGCAGACCCCATAGTGCCGCTAAGGTTATAAAGCTGCCAGACGTTGACCTTCACAGGCAAGACACTAAATCCAATACCCAATATCCGTTTGACGAGCTTGTGTAAGCCAGTTGATTTCTTCTCGCTCACTTCTCGGTCTTGCGGAATGTTTCTAGGTCTTTGACGATTTCTAATGCAGCAGATCCAGCCACCCATTGGCTATAGCTCTGGTATACGTTAAGTTAGGTTAAGTGTCGGTTAGTTCGCCTTGGATTGTGATGGGGTTGGGTTCTCCAGAAGTCGATCTGTCAGATCTTTTCTCGACTGGTCGTAGGAGAGAGTCACGGACGGAGAAGAGATAGCCTAGGAAGACAAATATGTGTGAGCGAAAGACAAGGAAAAGCGAAATGACGGAGAAGTCTACACACACAAGCAAGATCAAGGGAGTCCGAAGAAATGCAGAACTTAGGTGGGTGAGGTTACTTCGTAGTGAGTGAGAAGGATGAAAAAGACTTAAGTGGTTACAGCAGGAGGAGGGTTGGTGTAGAGGTAACAGTGCAGGAACTGTGTGACGGCGCTTGATTTCTTCGGCCTACTTCTTATTCCAGCAAGATGAGGGTATACCGTGGGTCACTGCGTAACTGTCTAGACTTTTCTTGGAATTGTTGGCAGACGGGGCAGAGGCTACCTCTGCCTGTAGTTCATTCCGGTGTTCATAGATCCGGAGGGGGAAGGAGTGTGAACACACATGAGCAGCGGGAAAAATGGCTGAGCCAGAGTTGCTCCTCGTCACGTCCTCTCCTGTTGACTTTCGCACGGAACTTCCTGTCATCTAAGCAGTTCTGTATCCACGGTGGTACCTGGCTGCGGACACCCAACCCAGCCATTTCGTGTATTAGGATGGTGTGTGAGACCGCGCCAAAGGCTTTCAGGAAATCCAGAACCTTTAGGTTCCAGCATGTTGTCCAGTGGTCATAGGCTGTGAGGATGTTGGAGAGGTCAAGGCATACTTTTTGTAAACCTTGTTGAGCATTCCCGAGTGTCTGCTTTTTGTCCAGGCATTCTATGATGTGGCTGTATATCTGGCTTTCCACAGCTTTGGATATTACTGGCACAGGTGCTACCGGTCGGTAATAGTTAGGACTCAGCCTGTCTCCTCCTTCGAAGATAGTGGAGAAGATGGCCGAGTTCCCCTGTTGAGGAGCCTTCGTTCATCCAAGGAAAGGGTCCCAGACTGAGCCACTTAGGACACTCGAAGATTATTTCAACACAAAATGATGAATGCCGTCGCACCCTTGGGATGTTCCCGCGCTCAGCCATGATGGCTTATGAAAACAGCCCCACGAGTTATCCGTAGTTTGCGTGGCTCTACTGCGTAGGACAGCATTATGAGCTGTTTAAGCTATGGGTATGCGTGACTGCATGAAGTGACGTTGAGCAGTTTTTCAGTGGTGGTGCCTAATATTTTGGCTACCTCCTGTTTAAAAAGGCTCTCACCCTTAGGACCATTTTTTGGTTTATGCTCTCTACTTTGGGGGCTTTCCCTTCGCCGTGAATCTGAATAGGTTTTTAAGGGTTATCTCAAGCTTCTGGATGAGGTCAAACCCAGACGACCCACTGTCCCCTCTCACTTCGATGCTACATGAATTTCACTGGGCCGTAAATACGTAACAATCTGCGGAGAGCCCCCATTTATGAGTTCAGTCCATCCAAAGCCTATTATATCTCCGGCTAGTTCACTGCGGTCGTATCACCAGATAAAGACGTCGTGGCTCCAAACAGTACTGCTGAAAATAGACTGCCAACGTGCCCAGTGCCTACCACAGAAGTCATTTTTTCGTTCTCCTGGCAACCTGATACTCAGCGTGATGGACTGCACCCAAGGCTGCCATCTTTTTTCCAAAGGTTACTGGGAGGGGGCTTGATAATCAGTAGGAGGTTAGCCTATATTTGACCCGGCGTCCTAAAGGATGGAAAGATGCCGTTATCAATCCGGTTTTCAAGTCAGGCGACAAGTGACTGGCATCGAACTATCTTGTTAGCTTAACCATCACAGTTATTGCATCACGCGAGAAGATAATCAGGATCAGAGAGCTCAGTTACGTCAAAGGTTATTGTCTTCCCATATTGTCACCGCATTAGTGTCGTGCTGACCTTGGCAAATCTTCCGATGAGGTTTCTCACGCTGCACCACTACGAAGGCCTGAATCAATGAATTTCGTGCAGATGATAGATAAAGGGTGAAACTGAATGGAACACCATCTAAACGGCAATCTATAGGTAGTGGGTTCCCCAAAGAGCAATTTTCTTCTCCCTCTCTTCCTTGATCCATGTCAGAGAACTCCCGGATGCGATTAGGTCTGCGATTTTATTGCTTACCAACGACGTCAAAATATCCATCGTCATCCTTGGCGATGCCAGCAGTTGTCTGTCGAAAGCGGGCCTTCCTGAACCAACGTTGGCCTTCAAAAATTATTTCTAGAGAATCCTGAGTTGTGGACACTGGTCATCTCAGCCATCATCGGGGCTCGGTAGATGGAGCACCAGCCCCCGACCGCCGAGAAATTAAAGACTCGAGTGTGACAGCCAGTCATAGCTCGAACATGTCTGAGCAGTGCACTACAGCCACAGTACGAATGTTCCTGGAACTTGGACCCCCTTGCACAGTATTCATATGCTCTGATGAAAACACGCTTCGAAAATTGTATCTCACTCTCGCTTGACCATATTCCGAATAATAAGTTCAGTTCGTTGCCTCATAAAGTGTGCCGCGGCACGTCATTCCATATTTTTAACAATGACCTTGGGATTGATATATCGTCTTTCTTCTCCTTAGTAAGCGTCCGTCTACTTTCTGTCAGTTTTGACGAAATTCAAAACCTGACGTGGGACCAACCTTAGGTGAGCCCAAGCTTCAGGCCTGCAGTGGCCGACCACTGGGTCTACTCAACTGTCCAATAAGCAAGAATCGCTAATCTCATTCACCCCTTAACCCTCCCACCATATGGACACTTATCAATTCTCGGATTACCCAAATTTCTAGGCGGTCATGATGGCAACGAAAATCTGGACAGACAATAAAATCCAGGGGATCAACTCACCTACTAACTTTAAGGTGAAGATATTTACAACAATGTTATGCAACAGACTTCCCTAGCGCTTTATCCAACAGTGAATATACCTCCTTGATAGTGCTGCATACCTTAAAGTGAACAGTACGAAAAATGCATTATTGGTCCGCAGTTCTTAGATGTTTTTTCCTTTGCACCACAATATCTAATTCTGATGGCTTAAATCTATATTGCTGTGAACAGCGATACCTGAATAGATATTCACTTGGATTACATGATTATGTGGAAATTTATAGATTTTCGAAATCATCATTGTGGATTTTTTTGGCGTAACGGGGCATCGCGAAGACGACTCAAACGTGTCGACTGCTTTTAACCATGGCGCCACCACTGGTTAAAAGGAAAGTATGACCAAAAACGACCCAAAACTCTAACACTCTGTACATGCTGAAAACTGGTATTTCCTTGTTCGTTTCATAACTTTTGGAATCTTCTGATATTTTTAATGAAACTTACTGACCTCCCTTCCATACCATCCGGGTCCCGTAAACTCTTGTACATTTTCCAACATATATCAATGTGATGATGCCTGTAAACCTTTGTCTCTCATGTTAAACTACTAATATGAGAATAAAATATTTATTAATTTATCTATTAACGAAACAAGTGGTATCAGATCATTTGGTGGTTGGATTCATAAAGGAATCAGGTCTTTACAGAGTAACTTGGTGCGAGCCTCGACATAAGCTCATTTCCCTTGTTGTATTTAACACCGAATACTGAGTAAAACGAAACTCGACCGATGAAGTTTCGAAAGGAAATCAAATCGGTCGTAAGCTCCATTGAGACATCGATAATTGCGAAGTGATCACGTAGCTCGTCTGTCAAGGGATTCGTTAAAAAGCAGGCGTGGGTTTATCTCACAAGAACGAACATCAGCAGATTTTGGATCTCCACCTCATACCCCTGAGGCTGGGCCCTTTCTGTGGGGTTGCACTTCTATGGATGAGGAAGTCTGTCCCGCTTTCCTTAGCCTATGGGAATGTGATTGACTGCTATCCATCTTGTACTTCATCTGTTTAGGTTGGGTGTGTAAAGAAACTACGAGGTCTCCGTAACGGTGGGTCTCTTTGCAAGTCCCGCCTATGTAGGGGCTTGAATGTATATAGAATGGATTCAAGCAAGGATATGCGGCAGTGAGTAGGAGTTGCGGACAACTACATAGATAAGGATGGCACCAGGGAGCCCCGTCGACCTAAGTAACTGCCTCTTTGTAATTTTGCGTTAACTTGGTGCTACCTACGGTGGAAAAGGTATGACCGAAAACGACCTAAACGTCTACGTTGTATGTACTGAGAAGTGACAGTTCCTTGTTTGTTTCATAACTGGTATACTCTTCTGAAATTGTGAATAGAATATAATGACCTACCTTCCGTACCATTCAGGACTCGTGCTATCGTAGATTCTTCAACATATATTGGTGTGGCGGTGTCTGTTAACCGGTGTCCCTCATGTTAAATTCCTGATGTGGGGATAAAAATCACTTATTTAAGAGGCGTTCGCCGGGCGGTCTAACGGCGGCTCAAATTCCCCGGAAAAAGTGGTGAGCCAGACCTATT